ACCTACCAGTATCTTGTAGAAAGCATAAGGCGCTTTCCGGCTCAGGTAAAACAAGTCCTCCAGGTTAACCTAAACGTTAAAACTTCAGTCTTACAGAAAGACACGCTGAAGAAAAGCATTCAGTCACAGTTGCTCTTGAAAATCTGCTAGGAACACCAGGAATGAGTTTCAGCGCTAAATGCTGTATTTATCATTACTTTATTTTAGGAGGAGTTCAAGGAAATGATTGAAGATGCAGGCTTTGTGAAGGTGGAATATCAAAACCTGACCTTAGGCATTGTGGCCATTCATTCTGGCTTCAAGCTGTGATTGTCGTTTTGTGGGGCTGAGGGAAAAACACTTGTCTTCCACTTGTCTTCCTCTGTGCCTTATCTCCCAGGCAGGTGATTAAAAGGAATGAATCACTCAGAAGACCTTAAATATCAAGTCTGAAATGCAGTATTTTTTGTTATGAAACGTCTTCAAGAAATAAATGAAATCTAACCCACATCCTGGTTGTAGCAGTTGTCAGGCAGCTATTTGTGGGAAGTCTGCAAACCCCTTCTTGCTGAATAGTCCCTCATCACCTACTCAGCTTGCAGAGTGATTTATCCTGGTTTAATGTAGCATGTGAATCCAGCTGCTCTGTTTTACTCAAGCTGAGAGCCTATCTTAGCTCAAAGGTTGGATATGTACTGTTGCACTCCCTCAATGGCTGCACAGTATTAAACCAAGAATTATTAGCCTTATTCAGAGAGACTCCGTCAAGGTGAGGTCAGTGATTCCATGGCCACAGCCATGCAGCTTCCTTGCAACAATACAGATCTGCCATTGCTGCTTTCTGGGATATTTTTCCAATTCTCTAGTTAGGCTACAACCCTGGAATTCTAATTCTGGCACGATCTTAATTAATTATCTTAAGATAATTAAGATTATCTTAAGCCTGATGTTGCTTAGCTTCCGGATCTAAGTAAGGCCAGTTGAGAGCTGCTACCTCCCAAGGTCACTCATACACATTTGTTTATAAATCATGGTTTACAAAGGCCAAATACTGGATTTGTATAAAGCCCGAAGCAAACCACGCTGTAGTTTAACGTGACGTGCAAATTAGGTCCCATCTCTACAGTACAGAGCCATGAGCACATTATACATAAATGCAGTACAAGCTTGCTTAGGTACAGTCCTGGCCAAAAGTTTTGAGAATGACAAAGATTAATTCTCACAAGGTCTGCTGCTCCAGTGTGGAAGATGGCAATGTGCATATACTCCAGGCTGTTATGAAGAGTGGTCAGATCAATTGCA